GAAAACATCTCGTTGAATTACATCCGAAATTCACAAGACGACTCGCACGTGTTACTGTCTGTTAAATTTACATAATTTATATAACAATTTTGTTGTTCGAATGACAAGTCTTGTGGTGTAGAAGATAAGCAAGTGCCTTACATACATGGGCATATGCTCACTTTGACTATTTACAATCATTAACGTTATATAAAGTAATGATTAATGAGTCGTGCTAAAAATATCCCAATTGTTTATATTTTAAAGCAATAAATATAAATTGCTGATTCTTTCTAATAGTTTTATTTGAAATGTAGATATCATGTGTTTTCTCAGTAATATCTACCAGAATATAACAGTTGGATAAGTGAGTCATGTAGTATGTTTGATTACATATGTTAGTATAGTAAATATTTCTTACAGATATACTTGTATTTTTTTTGTAATATGAAATATTCGTGAATTCGATTTAAATAAATGATTCTTTCGTGGTCAAACTTAATTTATTGTATAAGCAATTGAATTTGTCTTCTACATTGAATGATTATTTACAATGATAAATATATAAAAATGTAAATGTATGATTTAATCATTCAAAGATTAATAAATAATGAATAAATTTTCAATTTCTTGAATTAATAGGCTTAGTCTGCTTCATTGGAACTCATTAATTTACATTACATTTCTTGATTAGCTTTGAAAACCGAGTAATTGTTGGGAGATGTAAAAGTAAAGTGGCGTGATGGCCGGGCCAATTATTCGAGTTCGTGTGTCTGGACGCTGAGATGACTTTGTTGTCCGGCATGCCCGGTTTTGCCATTCTTATGATGGGCTTGATTGCTTGAAAGTATTTGAGAAACATAATGTATAAAGTTTGACTTATTGGAATTTCTTCAAGTTTGTTAAAACTTTGCTTAAGCTACTGGTATCAATGTTGTTAAAATGTCACACTAATGTCCATTTTTAATAGTTGAGAAGTTTAACATATGTAATCAAATGTGACTAATATATAGGCTCCAAAATAAAATTTTCTCATAATTAGATATATTTATTGTTTAAGGGAATACAACAACTGGTTATTAAATTATTACAATCGTCAACTGTTTAAAAAAATTAAAAATTATATATATATATGGTATATATAGATTGAATTTATACCTTTTTTGTCATGTTTATATTTGTGTTGTGTAATACATGAACTAGGTAATTGTAGTAGGATAAATAAAATAATTATAGGAAGTTTCTGTATGATGATCTGCCATTTTTTAAAAAATAAAGTTTGATAATGTAACTGTAAATTTTAATAATCAAATTTTTTGAAAAATTATGCCTATAATAATTAGTACCTTATTGAAATGATATGTGAAACTGATTTATCTTAATATTTCATATAAGAATAATTAATTGAAAANGTGATGTTTGGTTTTACGTACCATTTCATTATAAATTTACCATTTTTTTACAGAATTTTTCTTTAAGAACTTGTATCTTTTCTTTTTCATTATCTTCTAGTTATATATTTGCACTGTTTTTGTACTTTTAAAAACTGAATTCATATTTCTTTACATTAATAATAATTTGTTTTTATTGCAGGAAATGTTAATTCTTTCTTAGTAATAAGAATTCTTCTGGCTATGGCCAAAAAGTCTCTTTGAAGCAAATCAAGACATGTTAGCTTTACAGCTTGTCTATGTATGTCACTATAGGGAAAATTCTTGGTAGATTTCTCTTTCTATAATGAGATCAGTCTAAAAGTGTGTACACTATGCAAAGACTTTCTCCCACTAGATCACAGCTAGAGATATGTATTAGATCAACTGTACTGAGATTTTTATTGTTTATGCACACAAGGATATTTTTTATCATAACTCCTCTTTCTAGAAGCAAACCAAGACATTGTCTAGAATTGTATGATCAAGATGTCTAGTTACTGCAGTTATAGTATTAATTAATGAATCAAAAGAAAAAGTTCAATCTTCATCTCTCCTTGATATCCTTTTGTAATGCAAATACTAATAGAAAATAAACATTTGGGTTAGAAAAAAATATTAAGAGAATTAATTGAAGATTACAATAAGTAAATGTCATTTATATAATTTTTTTGTTGTAATTCTCATAGTTTGACATTCATTTAGCATTTTAAATTGTTTTGTTTTATCCTTCTAATCAAAGTTTTAAAACTTTAAAATAAAGCTTTTTGGCTTTTTTGTCTTTATATTCCTTACATTCAATAATTCTGGAAACAGTTCATATTGTTGAATCAATAAAATTGTTTCCTTTCTACTCACTTATAACCTTTATTTTTGCTTTCTTTACTGGAGGATATTCTGTAGTTTGGAAATATATTTGAATGAACAAATAGACCTAGACTAACCTAGACAAGCTCTGCATATTTTACATTATCCTTCTTCCATCCTACTGAGAGCTGAGATAAAGCAATGTGAGAGCAGTCTTATTAATATTTACACTATATAGAGATATCTAATTATAAACAAAATCTGGATGAAAAGTCTATTTGTGATTGACCTTTCCTCTACAGTTCATTTAAATTTTAAAACATGGCAAATGAAAATAGTATAGATGTGCACTTACATTAACTGTTCACATATACATACAATGCTATTTTATTTAGTAACAATGTCCTTTTAACAAAATAAAATTGAGTGATATACAGTATTAGTTTATGCAAGAGGAGAAACTAAAATGTTTTACTAAAAGAAAATCAATGCTTGATGCAAATCATTTTTGTGGTCTTAGACACTGTTCAGAAGAATGTCAAAGGTTTGTGTTTACACTCTTCTAATGTATCAAGAAATTGTAGAATTTTAAAATGTAGTATTTAATATTAAAAGAATAGCATTTTCTAGTATGAAAAAGTCCTGAAGGAAATGATTGATTTGAACAAAAATAAAAGTTTTATATTAAAAAAAAATTAATATCAACATGGCTGAGAGTTTAAATTATTATTATTATAAATGGCAAAATGAAAAAGAAATCAAAGTTATCAGAGATTAAACAACCTATTTAACTTATGGAAATATTTCAGAATGAATATAAACAGTATTTTCTGAAAGAATTGAGACAATTAGCATAGTAAAAATGTTTTATCCAGCAATTAGTTATAAAGAACAGACAGAATTGTTCTTGGGTTTGTTTCTTTCTAAATTTTGGAAATATGGAACCACTACTGTATTTATGTAGTTTGGAATTTTTGATTGATGATGCAGAAAAACTTTGCTATTACATTGTAAGTTTATTCTAAATCCATGACAGATTAATATATATATAATAATAATAATGCTAATTTCTGGACTTCAATATTATTTTTAGCAATTATCTCAGCTGACACCAGATTGCAGGTCATTCGTTTTCAGTCGCAAATACTGTACACACACTTTAAAAATGAACAAAAATAACTCTATTATTCTCTTGTGAAATCTAATAGAAGGGACGCCCGTGAAATTGATTATTCTGCCTTTGATAATCTCCAGGCAAGACTGACTAATTCAGAATATATGACCTTTTTGTATCTGGATAGTGCTTGGTTTTTTATTTTAAAATTATGAATCAACTGTTGAAACGTGTTTATATAAATTTAGAAATATTAAATTTTATATGGTTATTTATGACTCTTAATGAATTTATTTTTTANAGTATTTTTTTGTTTTAATATCCTTTACAATTAATTAAATATATTTCAAAACTGGATGAGATACATTAAAAGCACCAACTAACACCTGTAATCCAGTTAATATGAAAACATTTGTTCTTATAGGTTCAATTGCAGAAGGTTAAGGACAGTTGAAAACGTTAGTTCTTATAATAAATTGGTTCATATTAACTGGATTACAGATGTTAGTAGATACCTTTAATTCTTTACAATGTTTAATTTACTGAAATTTAAAGATAATTTTAGACTATATTAAATTTATAAAAATTTCTAAGAAACTTCTTTTATTAATGGGAGAATTGTTTGCCATGATCTTGAGAATTCTAGAAGCAAAATAACAGAATTTCTAATGGTAAAGAAGTTTCTAAGAAACTTCTGTACCATTAGAAATTAGCTACAATTATTGATTTTATTTAAGCCTATATCATATACATTGTTACTATTTATAATAGTTAAAATTATCTAGTTCAAAATTGTTTTCAAAATTTCTATATCAAAATAAGATAAGTTTTCATCTTTATACTGTGTGTATAAATATGGAAGATCAAACTATTATTATTAATCAAATAAGATAAATTCAAGTTTAATCATTAAGTTAAATACTTCATAATTTTTGTAAAATATTTTAGTTTATTTTAAATTTCTGTATCAAAATTTAATGTTTTCTTACATACATATATTAATGCTTTTCTTTTATACATTTATTATGTTTTGACAAATTTTTAATCAATTTTTTTAATCATGTTTCAAAAATTACTTCAAATATAAACAAATTTTTACACTGATTTTGTACAAGTCAAATAGCCTACTAGTCCATCTCCTATCTGGATCTGCAAATGTCATAAACAATTTACACAGTAATCATCTTAATCTAACCGAACCAACAACATAGCGAGAAAACTTGGGCAATGACGCTGAGCGAAATAGAATGGAATTGTGAATGTGTGATNCTAACATTTAATTTTTATATAAGATAACACTTCAGAAAAAAATTTACTTGATATTTGCTTTCGGAAAATATTTTAAAACTGACTTTTTGTAATTATTAATAAAGTATATTTCCGGTATTAAAGCTGTTAAATGTCAACAAGAAGTAAGTGTTAACATTACCGATCTGACCGGATAATTTATTTGCTTTTTTTTCTCGCCACGTCCTAAATTGTCAAAAATGATAAGTTGCGATTACTAATGGATGAAATGTGACGACTGTGGTTAAAAATTTATAATTACTACTACTATTCGTTTTGTAAAACGGAAATCGATTAAAACAATTTTAAAAAAGCTTTATTATTATTAATTTGCGTTTTATAATGTATTTGCGAAATTTGAAAACCGTTCTTCTAATTTTTGTTCGCTGTCAGAGGAAAAAAATCGTATCCTATATTACGTCTAGTTCTTTTTTATATCAATATAATCTTAAGTGCGATATCAATCGAGTGATAACTTACGAATTTCAACTGACGTCACAGCTGCTTTTAAAACGGATTTATTTGAATCAATTTTTACTTTTGTTCGGTAAAGGTGTTATAATACTCTAGTGGAATTTTCACGCATGCTTTTAGATAGTCTGCAGTGGTGCAGTCGATCGTTTTATTGATTCTTTAAAGTGGACTGTAACATTAACATCAAGATGTTGGATCACGCGGAAGATATGTCACCCAGAGAAATGACTAAAACGTTTAAATTGGATTTAACTGATAATTATCATCGGTATTTAAGAATAGCAGCTGATGAAAACGACGATAAATGTAAGTTATTTCGAATTAACGTGAATAACCTGTAATCGAAAACCAGACTGGTAACGTCAGTTGGAGTTTTGTTGAACGATTACGTCACGCGATTTCGTTTTATTCTGCCATGTATTTTTAATAATAAAATGTCGTGACTTTATACAGTTTACAGATTTAAATACTTAAACTCTCTGTGCTACACTTTCTCCCGTTTACTTGTTACGTTTTTAGTGAATTATTTTCTATAAATAATAATGTGTACCGTGCAATATTGTAATTGGCGCATAATTATCGATTAGAACGTAATTTTATTTCCATTTTTAAAAATTTATTTACAGGAAAAGTTTTTTAAATGAAATTAATGACAGGCGTTTATTTCCTTTTTAATCATAAATTTAAATTTTTATTAATTTTAAATTTATCTCTTTTATCATTTATGGAATGTTCGGATAAAAATGAGTAAAAGATGTGAGAGATGGCTTAATTTTTCGGAATTTTTAGTTATTTCAACAGGAAATACCATTTGCGATAGACAATTTTTAATTTAACAACAAAATTTGCATACTGTTGGAAGTCTTCTGTTAAATTACTACAGCCAGTGACAGCCTTAACAAAATTTGAGTTTTAAAACAAATCTGGAAATGTAGTTGACTTCATTCAAACGAATAATTAACATTTTATACTGTCACATTCAGATACATGTTTTTGGAATGTGTAGAAGAAACTATTCTGTCTTCATATTTGATTGATTGTGTTAAATAATAAAACTGAATAATTGAAATTTAGAATTTATGTAAATTCAGATGATACAATTTCTGATAAGTAAGATTTTAAATGATTTCTTTTGTATTGGGCTTAAAATAGTCTAATTATTAAAAATACATTACAAAATTGATAATGTACTGAATACTGCCAAACGATCATCAGATCAATCAGGATACATTAATGTTACTATTAATAATTAAATGTCAAGTAATTGGTTGCCTAATGCTTACCTCTAGGCCAATCTGTTGATAAATTTAATAGTTATAATTAACTATTATCAAGAGAAGTTTCCTAATGCTTACCTCTAGGCCAAATTACTTGACATTTAATTATTAATAGTAGCATTAATGTAGCCTGATTTAATCTTACAAATATAAAACATTTAATCCAATTTTTTGCACTGAATACTAGACACCCTGTCCTGGCTTGTTTAACAGTATGTGGAATTATGGAAAATGTGCCAAAAATACTGATAGACTTCAAGGAAATTTCATGTATGCAAGGACTGGTTTTAACAAGTTTGTTAACTCATGCTTATGGAAGAAATTTATTATGAATTAGTTGAAAGTTGATTTTGATTATTTAATGATTTTTAAAAATATTTTAATTCAAAACCTTATATAATATTTTATTTTGACATGAGCAAAGAATGACTTTAGGAGTGAATAATATGAATAGAATTGAGAAAATAAGCTGCTTTTTTTTTAATCAGTTTTTTAATGATTTCACAATTTCTATCATATATACGAGGAATGTCCGGAAAGTAAGTACCGTTTCGTTTTACCACCACTGCAGTGGTAGTATCGCAGTTCAGCACCTGCATACATGTCTCTGGTTGATTGTCAGTCCAGTGACTCCATTAGAGCCAGATTGTGTTGTTTTTCCATGTGTTAGTGAGCATTCAAAATGTTTAAGACAATTGCCGAACCCGCCAACTGTGAAGTGCGTTCTGTAATACGGTTTTTGAACGCAAAGAATGTTAAGCCAGTTGAAATTCATTGTCATCTTGTAGAGATTTATGGTGAAAATGTAATGAGTGATGGAATAGTGAGAAAGTGGGTTTGACAGTTCAATGCTGGACGCACCAATGTTCATGACGAAGCACGGAGTGGCCGGCCTTCTGTTGTCAATGATGGTTTGGTTGCAAAAGTGAATGAGAAAATTCTTGAAAACAGACGGTTCACAATAAGATTGCTTTGTGATGAGTTTCCACAAATTTCAAAAACTGTTTTGCATGAGATTGTCACAAATCAATGTCAGCAGTGGCTGTCTTCACTAGCGGCATCTTTCTTTGAAGAGGGTATAGACAAGTTTGTTTCCCGATATGACAAATTATGACAAATGTCTGAACAATAATGGTAACTATGTAGAAAAATAGTTTCCAACATGCTGTTTCATGTAAAAATAAATTTTGTTTTGAAAAAAAGATTTTTTTGTGAGAGTTTTCCCAAAACAGTACTTACTTTTCGGACATGCCTTGTAATTTCACAAAGTTTTAATGTTTCCTCAATTAAGTATTTTTCAAGTTTTGTAATTAAGATTAAAAAACTCCAAAAAAATCTTGAGAACCAAAACTAATGGACTAGTGTAGAAACAATTTGAAAGATAACAAATACAATATATTAGAATAGTTTCCAACATGCTGTTTCATGTAAAAATAAATTTTGTTTTGAAAAAAAGATTTTTTTGTGAGAGTTTTCCCAAAACAGTACTTACTTTTCGGACATGCCTTGTAATTTCACAAAGTTTTAATGTTTCCTCAATTAAGTATTTTTCAAGTTTTGTAATTAAGATTAAAAAACTCCAAAAAAATTATAAAAATTTATAGTAAATGTGATTGATTTTAAAATATTTTGATAATAAATGTTAGACAAAATTTTAAACTCTTACTAAAAAAAAATTTGATATGGCTTGTTATTTGATTGGTCTTTCCTTAAAAGATGTGTTTTGACAATACAGTTTTATATCAGGATGAGATTTATATAGTTGGGAAGAATGTATTTTCATATACTGTAAATCTTTTTCATCTAATATGGAAATATATAATCACATTTTTCTGAAAATGAGTACTGTTTTTCCCTTCTAATTCTTCTCCTATAATATATTTTGACTTAATAGATAAATACATTCTAAGATATTTGGATTTAAACATACAGAAAATAAGCATTAAAAGACTTAGACTAAAAGAATTATATTTTTATGTATTCTTTATAACTTTTTTACAATCATTAATACAGAAAATATTTATAGAATTTATTTTTTACATTAATTGCTAATACAAAGAGAAATATAAGCATGATAATCTAAGGTAAGTTTTTAATTAAATTGGCATTTGCTTTCATTAGGAAAATTTATGTAACAATTAAGTTGTATTATTCTAGAAGGAAAAAAAATCAGTATTTTGTATTAATGGTTACACTAATAGAGATCTATTGTTTGTGAAAAGTTAGGCAAGATTAGGTGGTTTTTTCTGCTTTTAAATTATAGAAAATAAAAAGAATATTAATTTGCAAAATACTTAAAATCTTACAGCAAAAAATAAATATCGAAAATGATTTATAAAAATATTTTGGAAATTATAAAACATAAAATTGTAATATTTTTTGTGTTTAGTCTCTTAATTTATTTTAAATTTAAAAACTTGGTCCTTTAAAGGACATAACTTGTAACAGATGTCAAACAAGCATTAAAGGCACTGCCTGAGAAAGATGTAGTGGCATTTCATATAAGTTTGCAGAAACACTATTGCTGTATGTACAGACAATCATACATAATACAGAAGATACAAGTTAGCTCAGATCTACTGAAAGCAATGAGGTTTCTTCAACCAAAAAGAACAATAAAGGTGTGCTGATGTTTCTAGGATTGCTAAACAATTGCTGACAGATATTTCACTTGATAAAATTGTGAATTAATTGAAGCTTTTTACAGCTAGAGGAGGAAACTCACAAACAGGAGTGAGTTGATGACTACTGGAAGCAATTTCTGACATTGGTTGTCAAGTTATGTATGTTTTTCACATAAGAGCATGCAAGATTCAGCATTAAATAGTTAAAATTATTGTGTTGTCTACATGTATAAATTATCTAGATTCATGCTTCTTCAGAATAGAACAAAAAATTTTTTAAATATTAGTTATCCTATATGATTTAAATTGATTTTTGTAATTTATTAATTTAATTCTATGAAAAAATTGTTTTTTAAGCTACGAAAAGGCTACACCAAAAAAATTCTACTGAAAATAAATTTTTTTTCAACTTTAATACTTAATTTATCTTCAGGAAAACTTTTTGTGAAAATATTTTAATTTTCATAGGCATTGAATTTTTCATATGAAATGAAATTAATTTTGATTTTTATTCTATAATTAATATATTTTAAATGTTTTATTCTTAGACTCTTTTAATGAGCCTCCAGAAGTCAAAGGATATGATGCAACTCCTGATAGTGGTGTTCATGATTTATCATCTATGTACCCAGAGCAGAGAGCTAAATTAGAGGAAGAATTAAAAAATGAATTGGCCAAAGTAAGTATCACATTAGCTTAATGTTTTAAAAGATTTTATTAATAAATTAGAGAAGCATTGATAACAGCTTCATTGATATTCTTCAGCTGATAGTTAATTAATCAATCATTAACTGATATGATTTCAAAAACGTATATTAATTAACAAATATTTTCTAATGCATAATTCTGTTCATTTGAATAATACAGAAAAACAAACTGTACAGAATTAAACAAAAATGTCTTGTTAATTAGGAACTTTATAAACTTCATTAATAAATATTGTATACAGAAAGACAAAATGTCACATTCAGTAACTTTAAAATTTAGTGTCATAAATTATGTGACATTAAATTTAAATATTTTAACTCTGTTTTGAGTGTTTAATTACTAGTTTATGAACTTTATTTCTAAATTCATAGTTATCTGTCAAGTTTTACTATAACAACTTACTGAATGTAAATAACATTATCTTTTATTAAGTTTCAAATTTCTTGAAAAATTATGAGCTTTATTATATTTAAATAATATATAAGGATGATGAATTATTAAAATTTATTTTTCACACACCAATTTTTAATTTAGCTGAGGAGAGTTTTATAATCAAAATTAAACAGTTATTATTTTTAATAGCTTTTTAAACATTTTTGAATGCTATAGATGATATGAATTCAGTGAATAAGAATTTTTTATTTTAACAAATTATTATAAATATACTATTGAAGTTCAGATTGTTTTGTTGTGGACATTATATTTAAAATTACCAAAATTTCAAAAGAAAGTTTATTGCAATTTTTTCTTGCTATAATTTTTACTTAAATTTTTAAACAGAAAGGATCTTTCAGTATCCTTTCTGTTAGTTAGACAAAATTGCTCTCTCAGATTTGTCAGAAGTGCCCAGAATTCGATAAACACTGAGAATTTCAAACTCCTGAATTAAGGTCTACTTGTATAATTTTTATGGGTTATATATATATATAAAGAGGTAGTTAGTGATTATAAAAATGGAAGAAATGGAAGTTTTGTTGTTGAGAATTCAAAATCGTCACATCTTCTAAAATGGTTTACACAAGGAAAAGAAAATTTCTGGAATCAACTCCTGGTGAGTTGGTAGATATAGTAAGGAAGCTAATTGGCATAAAGGATAGGAAACAAGTTTTTCTAATTTTTCTCATGACACACTTATTTTGAAACATTTCATTCGAACTCATACTCAGAAGAAAGAATAATTAGTAAAATCATCACTAAATACCATTGGTTGCTGAGACACATTTGATATACACTAATTTTCAGCCTAATGCATAAGCTATCTTCAGGTGACTGATTCATGGAGCATCAGTTGCAAACTGTTTCAAACAATATTCACCTGACAATGGCTTATTCGTTAGTCTGAAAATGTTAGTGTATGTCAAATGTCTCTCTCAACCAATGGTGTTTAGTGATGATTTTAGTAAATTCCATGTCCATTCTTCTGTTTCATGTTAACTAATGTAATATGATTTTTAGTGTTTAACATACTTGTTTATACAAACATGATAATAGATAATATTTAATGCAATTAAAAGCATAATTTTTAATTAAATAGATTATAAAATAGATTTATTTACTATTGAACACAAGACTGTGTTATTATTAAAACACTTGGCGTTTATCCACTTTTATTATAATTTAAAAAACTGCCAATTTTGGAACCATTTCATTTCAAGTTAAAACTAAATTTATAATTATAACAAATTAACATCCAGAAATTTTGTTTATGTGTATTATGATGAAATAGCTATTTTTATAATAAATCTTGGCAGTTAATGTATCAAAATACAATAGAAATTCAATTTAATATTCTTCAATTTAACATATTTTCAGATTTAACAAATTTTTTTTACCAGTCCCTCCTCCCTCCAAATCTTAATAGATAACAATGTTATCTATTAAGATTTGGAGATTTGAAGATTAAGTTGCTATATTTAGTGACTTTCAATTTTGCATATTTTCAGAATTTGATGCATTTGAAAAATTGATTCCTAGATGAATTTTCATTTCAAATGTTTTTTTTTGGAAAATGAACATACTGTATTTCATTTCAGATGGTGAAGAGTTATAAAAGTTCAATGAATTATCAAAATCATTTCATCAACTTGTGATAGTGAGAATATGCCACATTATATAGTTTTGACACCTTTGCAACTATTGCTGGACTTGGATATTGGTATAACAAGTAGAGTAAGCAATATCATGTCAGTTTTTAAAGTTCACTATAGATTCTGCAGTTAAGATACAGTATTCCTATGCAACTATAAATCTGGAAATTAAGGCAAAGTACAAAATGCAAAAGAAAGTACTTAATGTACAATACTTTACTTTTGTTTCAAACTTAAACTTCAGTGATGAAGGCATTTCAAATCCTCAAAAGGAAACAAATACAGTTGACCCCCTATAACACTGTTGATAATTCCGTTTTATAAGAATTCCATGTTGTACGAGTCACTTAGATTTTACAAATACATGAGCCATTCACAGCCTGGCACACGTATTTGTAAAATCTAAGTGACTCGTACAACATGGAATTCATATAAAATGGAATTACAGTAGAGCGTCTTTCCCCCCCTCGAAAGTCAATCATCCGAAAGAATTCCAGTTGGCAAATTTAAATTTTCACCAGTGCTGTGGCACTTCAATCTTTGGCTATGTCTTGTGCTACTCAAATATTTTACGTTTTTGATACTAAATTAACATATGAAGTATAATTTTTTATTGTTTATATTTTTCAATATATTTATTTTGTTTGTACAAAATAAAAAAATAATTTTTAGCGATACAATAGTCTTTGTTAGGCTTAACATCGACGAAAATTCAACGCGAAGCAACATTCAACGGAGAAAAATTTCAACATCAGATACATTAAACTATTTTTTCGTACATAAATCGGTTATCCAAAATATCAGTTATACGAACAACCCCAGTCCCCAATTGATTCGGAAAATCGACGCTCTACTGTATCAACAATGTTATAGGAGGGTCGACTGTATTACTTTCAAAGGACAGCTTTAACATTTTATCATTGTGTAAAACATGTGCTGATCAATTTACAATATATTGTATGAAATGAAGGTTTTCGTGGAAGCATTTACATTGGAAATATTTTTTTTTCTATACATTATCCATTCTGGATGCATTTACACATTTTTTTTTATGTATTTTTAGATTTGATGTGTAGTTTATCACTTCCTTGAGAAATGTTAAATTGAATTACTTCTGTATTCTTTAATTTTCTGATATTTTTAATATTGTGTTACAAATTTAGTAACTGTTTTGAAATTATATATACACCATATTTATTCTAATACACAGCATACTGTCTACTACTTTTTCATCTTTAAGCGATGTTTTTATTAGAATGCACCTAGTCACCCTGTATTACTTTTTTTTTTTTGGAATTAGGTGCAATTGTTATTCAAGGGTTACCCTTAAGGGTAACTATTAATGGAATAAATCCAATAACTTTTTCACTTTATTATTATTTGAACAACAGTGCCACTCTCAACACATTCATGCTTTACTTCAACATATGGTAAGAGTGACAATACTAAATAGAATGTGCAATTGTTCAGTTTACGATAAAGGCTAATTCATACGTTGTGAGAAAGGAAAGAAGAGTTTTTTTTTTATTCTTCTCTTTCCAAAAATATTCTTACTTCAAAAGAATGAGAGAGAAATGTGCTCTTTGACATTCTGCAGTTTAAAATAAAGCTTTGAAGTAATATTCTTAAACTATGTGTAATTAATTAACCCGTTACGGACAAAGACATTTTTGATATTAACGTAATTAAACATGGGAATATTATAACCTTATAACAGCTAAATTCATTTATTGGGCTATTTAAGGCTAATTACAAGGGATGATCAAAAATTAAGGTTACAAAGCCTGCAGTGAAAAGTGTACATTTTGAAATAAAATGTACACTTTTACTATCAGTTGTATAGTATAAAATGTACTATCAGTTGGCTGTATTGGTTGTATGAAATAAAATGTACACTTTCACTGCAGGCTTTGTTTTTGATCATCTCTTGTAATTTTGGCTAGAGATAACTAGCAAAGATGCTGTCTCTTGTTGAATTTAATTACAATTAATTTTTAGTTTAAAATAGTCTGGAAGAAAAGAAAATATTGTGTGATTTTATATATATGTAAAGATAATATCTGGATTTGATAAAATAATTTAACTTAAAATATTAAATTCAAATAGATCCAAATAACTATCATCTAATATAGTGTGTGAAGAAAATATCATTTAATATAATACAGTATTTTGCTTTGAGAGTATATATTAAATGATAGAACAGAATTATCTTTTATGAATTGTAATTTAAATTTGATCAATTTTATTGGTCTCCAATGTTGACACAGACACAGAAATGTGGACTACAACAGAGTAAAGTAAAACTGTTGACTTTTCTCACTAATCAAAAGAGAATGGAAGTATATCACTAGTAATGTGTGAGGTGCGGTTTTGTCTTCTCTTTTTGTTCTCACAAAGTATGAACTTTGTGAAGCCTTAAGCTTTATCTTCCTTCAAAAGACAGTGTCCTTGTGCAATATTAGGGGGGCACCTCACTGTCTTTCATCTTGCACCTATGCTATCTATTAGAATGAATATGATGACAATATTGAAAACTACCTAGCCTTTTTTTCAACACTTAATTATACATTTTACAATATGATATGAGCAATAAAAATATAGGCTGAATTAAATATGACATTATTACTTTGTACTATTTCTAAATACAGACTTTTGGATTCATTATTATGGTGGTGATTGATTGTATCTTACTTGATTAATAACATAGTACATAAGCACTGGTGCTTACGTGCTATGTTGAACTAAGATGAAATTATAGCTACAGAAAAACTGATATATACAAAAACAGCACTTAATCACAGGAAATTTTTAAATACACATATGTATATTTGATGTGTTAGTATGAATGCTTTCTATAATCTGATGTAAGTGGTGGTGTTAAGGTCTAATGTTTCCAGATTTTTATACTATTACTATATTTTATACAGAGTATTAATATATGGACTGTTTATTTTGAAAGTGGTGTAAGTCCATTTTTTCTTCTTTCGAGATATTTAAACATTTGCATTTTAGTTGATTCAAAAATATAAAGAAAGTGTACTAAGTTTGACAATGTTTCTATGACTTTAGAAATATGTAAGTTGATTGCATAAAGACTTCTATGTGAATTTATCCAAACTAATATANGTCCCCTCACCATGGACAGGAACCCACATCGAGGGGGATTCTGTTGACAAAGAAGTGCATGGCAAACCGACAGTTTTGATGTTACGTATCCAAGATGAAGAAACTGCAAGAAAAAAAAAAAAAAGTTAACAAATTTCATTCATGTAATAATCTACTTGAGACAACTGGTAAACATCTAGAAAGTAATCTACTTATGGCATGCGCAAAGCATACTGCTATCTTGTATTGTCATCTTAAATTTGTTCTGTGTGTTGTTTGTATTGTTTACCCGGCCAATGCCAAAGAATTCAACACTCACGTGTTTGCCATGTAGATACCCATATGCCAGAATGCTGGTAATCACTCTTCAAAAGGTATTGATGAGTCAATCGAGTATGCCCAATTCTCAAATGGGTAAGGATAATCTCAGATCTCCTTTCATATACTATGTTACGTATTCAATTAATAAGAATTTAGGATGTTTTACTTCCTTCTTGCCCACCTTCCATCTTGGAATTTTGCACACCACCTGGTCAGTTTACACAAGAATGCATCCCGTCAGATGATGCATTTCAGGGACTTAATATTGTGAAATAGACAATAATAAAATGGATGACTGGGAGAGACTCCGGGCAGTTCTTCCAAAAGATTTTGCCATAGAGTGTGTTCCTGATTTGACCACCGTGCCTGGAAACCAGTACTTCTGAAATCCTATAACCTCCGAAATTAACATGTCCATCAAGGTAACCATTTAATTGTGCAACTCTCTCTCTTAGGTTAGATTAATGTAGACCCTAGACTAGTGATAGGAGATATTCCATGTTTCCTTCTTATTCTCAGCATTCAGTTGTATTGTTATTCCCTTTTGTATTGTTATTCTTTGTATCCTTGTTACCGACGATTAAATTGTTAAGTATATATATATATATATATATAATATGAAGTCTTACAAGAAAGGACTACAGATATAAGTATCTTGCTTATTCTCCAAAAGCATGAGTTCTCATATATATATATATATATAATATGAAGTCTTACAAGAAAGGACTACAGATATAAGTATCTTGCTTATTCTCCAAAAGCATGAGTTCTCAGTATTTGCTAATTCTTTTCAGTGCACATGTTTGTGTTTGGACTAGCTATATCTATCATATATCATATTCAATGACAGAAATCATGTCCAGTCTGTTGTATGACTGTATGTAGTTTTTTATTAATAATTATTATTATTATGGCTTGATCATAGTATATTATGTGTGGTGTGTATTTGTAGTATGTAAGTAGTTTCTGATAAAACTTTACAAACTAATATGGTATATTCTATGGTTTCATGTATGTGGCATTTTCTTAAGTGTCATCTGTAAATGTTGTCTTTTCGGATAGTCATTCTGTAGATTGTTTTTGTTTTGTTTGACTTGATCTTTTATGGCAATCATGAACTCTTGAAATCTCTTCAAAGAGGCATTATTATAAAATTGCAGAAACATAATACATTATGAATTTGCTAAGCATTAGTTTTTTTGTGATAGTTTTTATTTAGAACTTAAAAATGCTAAATAAAATATTTAAGTTTTATTACAGAATATTTTTGTATTTAATACTAGTGATTTCAAAGTTAGTTCTAAAACTTAAAAATTTGAACATTAAGCTTATTTAAAAACCTCAGTTTTATTCTTTAAAATTGCTAATTATACCAGATAATTTTCAACCTTTATAATTTGTTTTTTTAGACAGAAGATGAAATAGTAACCTTAAGACAAGTATTATCAGATAGAGTAAGACATGCTCAAGAATTAAAACGTAAATTGGGTATAACTCCATGGAAAGAATTTAAGGATGATATGGAACAAGGCTTTCGCAATATTCAAGAATCTTCGGCGTAAGCTATTTTTAAATATAAAGTTTTTATCTTAAATTCTAACTAATGATATTCTGTATATTATCTTCTTAAAATTTAGTATTGTAAATTGAATGAAATTTTAATTTATATCATAAGATTTTGAACATTCAGCTAAATAAAATTGTTTCATTTTTAAGAAATTGTGGGTAATTTTTCAGTCATAAGAATTCAATTATACCCAAATACTCAATTGTGTATTTATCAAAGGAGTGACACAAATATTATTGTGATAAAGAAATGACAGAATAGTGAGCTATGTTAATCTATAATACTAGTTTCACTTTAAATACATACTTAGAGAAATCCAAGTCCTTGAAGAAACAGACTATTCCTATGATACACTAATTTATACAAAAATTATATTGAAATATTTAAACATTTTGCTGTTACTTCTTTGAAATGAATTGTCACATATAGAGAACTATTCTTAATTAGTATAATTTGGAATGGTTTTCTACATCAAATGGTAAGGCTGGCTTAATTAATGTACTAGAACTTGGCTAATTACATAGATATTATATAATTTAGACTAAAGGTAGATAGTTATGCTGTTGTGTAATTATTAAATTTAATATATTATGGCTTGTCAAGTCCAGTTATGTAATATTTATGTAAGTAATTAGGAAAGTTCTAGCCCAATGGTTAATCTGATCTTGTAACTCAATCATTTAACCACTTAACCATTTTGTCATAATCATTCAATATCAGAATAACTAAGAGATCTGTATGTGTGTGTATGTTCATATATATACACACACATACAGATTCTATATATACAGAATAGAAAAAAATTCTTTGGAAATTTAAAATATTTTAAAACTTATCATGTGATTTAAAATTGCTAAATTTTAGTTCTGCCAATTGCATATCTTAATATTTGTCTAGATGTGATTCTTATTCACAGGAAAGTAATTAAAATAAGCCACAAGAAATAGAGGGAAATTGTTGTTTGCTGGAAATTGATTTAGGTGTTATTTATTTGAATATTACAATTCCAGTTTGTGCTGTTTTTTGAAATAGAGGGAATTACTTTTTCCAATAACTAATGGCTATTCAAAACAAATAACTTATTTAATAATAAAATATTTTGAGTCAGAATTTGTTACATCAATAATAAGAAAAAAGTTGAATAAAATTTTTATTTTAATTATTTGTCAGTTTAAAAACATTGATTTACTCTAATTATTAAAAAATTCTTCACTAACAGTTTGAATGAAGATTTTAAATGTTTCAATCTTTGAAACAATGCCCTTTCTAAATTAGGTATAAGGAAGTTGGTACCAAGTTGACTGAGTGGAACAGTGCTGTTGTCAGCGCTCCTATGTGAGTGAAAAAAATAATAAATGCAGTTTCTTTTTCCTTTCTGCACCTTATCCATCACTTTCACCATTCCTAACAATAATAATACTAACAACAAATATTAAAATTTCAGAAGTGATTTTGGATTTTTTTTATAAACTTTAATTATGATTATTTGATTGAAAAAATTATCTCAATAATAATTGAAAACTAAAATATTAAATTTTGATAATTTTTTTTTCTTTGAATTGAACATTTTAACAAGTTTTTGAAACTTGTTTCGATAGTCACTATTTCAAAATATTACTTCAAAATTTCTGTATTGATTTTAGTAAAATATTTTCAAATTATTTAAAATATTTAAAATCTAATTCTAGATCTGAATTTTTGTGACAAATTATATCATGAATTAATATATAACATGTTCTTTTAGTTTCAAATAAACTTCATCTACTTGATTTCTTTATGAATGCAAAACTTTTAATTTTCTAAATAGATGCACTAGTGACACCCAGTATCCTTGTGAACTTTTATCCAATGTTTTTTCCCATTCTTTTCTTAATTTTTTTCTAATAATTTCTCTTGTTCCTCAAGCTTGCCAGGAATCTTCAGCTCTACAGCGTAGGTGATATTAACTAATTCTTATTTTAAAAATAATAGTATTATAAAAAACATTATATATAAGTTAAAATTTATTATTTCTTAATTATTTTCAATGTTTCAAAATATTTATAGTTATCAGAAGACTAGTTCAACATTAAAAACTGCAGGAGAGAAAACTACAACAGCTATAGGAACTATCAGTGCAAGTGTTACAAAGAAGTTAAGTGAAGTCAAGTAAGGTTTGTTTTTCTATTTTTTGTATACACTTTAGCCATCTCTATTGATAAAAATACTTTATGCAATTTATTAGAAATTCAACTGCATTCAAATCTTTTGAAGAAAAAGTTGGATCTGCATATTCTAATGTTAAGGTATTGATTTTTTTTCTTCTGACTATTTTTAATATGAATGCATCTTAACAAAATATTTGTTAATTAAAAATTTATGAATCCTTGTACAGACTAAAATGGCTGGATCTCGCAGTAATAGTGTGAATAGCTTTGAAGAAGCATTGAGTAATGCTGAGGGAAGGTCTTCAAAGGTAGCATCTCCTGCAACAACTCCAGTCATTCCAGAAGGAAAACCACTATCCTAAACTTTCCATTTTGGCAGATGTTATCCATAGAAAAAAAAAAATTGATATTTACTAGTAATCATGTTTCAAGCATGTATATATATAAAAGAAGTGGCAAAAAAATGTAAACTTGATTTTTTGCTTCATTTCTAATAAATAAATTTCCTTTTCTATTTATTAAAATTTTATTCTAATTCCTGTAAAAATCTTATCAAATTTATATTAATTTTTAAATAATTAATTTTTCATGGTATCCATTCATTAGGTCACAGAATCATAAAATGCATATAAACAATGTTTGTTGAACTTCTTTCCATGTATACACTCTGAGAGTGCAAGCAAAAAAAAAAAAAAACTTTGCAATTAGAATATTTAATCTGTTTCTAAAACTTACCTTTTGTGATCTTTGAAAAATAAATTCATATATATTTCTATTTTATGCATTTTTCTTTATTTCTGCTGCTGTTAATTAAAATTCATATTTTGAAAAATTTCTTCTTTTTCATAATTTTAATAATTCATATATTACTAATATGGTTAAGGAAGGTAGTGGCTGTATAATATATGTCAAATGTATATTTTGTTGTTTAAATTATTGGACAATTATTAGTCAAAAAATATAATTAAACAGTTGTAAAGGAATTTATCTTTGTGATTATCATCAGTACTTACCAACTTTAATGTAAAAGATAATAAACCAATTTCATTCTGAAAATACAATTGTATTATTGTAATGTATACTATATGAACATTTTTTTTATATTTAACATTCAGATACAAACCTTTAATTTGAATTTGTTTTATAAATTTGACATATATACATTTATGATTTATTTGAATATGCAACTTTGCTTATGTTAAATTTAATTTGCTGTTTGAAAATAAACTTATAAAATTTTACCAGAATTAAATCTGTAAATCTTTGGTTATATCATATCTGATGTATGACTTAAAAGAAATATGATTTGTACTGGAACAATTTGAACAACATATTAATATTTCTATCAATTTTTTTCTTTAATTCTTTTCATGTTTAAATTTTAAAAGCCTAAAGGAAAACTTTTCTATAGTGGCACTGCATCAGATAAAGAAAAATCAAATGAATTAAAAGGAAGGGAAAACAATGAAAGTCAGATAGTAAAACAGTGGAAGGAAAAAATTGTGAGAAGCCAAAATAAAATCCAAAGAATTACTTAATTTTCCCGGCAACAACTAATAGAGTGTGGCGCCATCTGTTATATTTTATTTAAAATACTTTACCTGTTTAATTATTGTATGGCAAAAAGCTTATTTTTGAGGGTAAGAACGGATTTTATAAATAAATGCTAATGAGTAAAATCTTGTCCAACTCCACTTGAAATACGACACACAATTTTCGTCGACCTTTAAATTAATCACCAAAATTTAATACCATCAATCCCCTAATATACAAACCTCCCTGTAAAATTCCAGAAATTTTCGACAAAAAAGCACGGGAGTTAAGCTTCAGAGGTGGTGAAAAAATCGAGTTCCCCACTAACATACATAAAAGTCGAATGTTTTTTTTCATTTCTCGACGTTCAAGGGTCCGAGTCCAAAAATATCTTGAGAGGAGGCCAGTTTTTGACCGATTGCCATATTTTCCTGTTATACACATTTTTACTTTCCGGGTTATATATATACTAGGTTTTCTCAAACGGATCCCGGTTGTTTTTTAACGCGGGAAATTCCGCGAATTTAAAAAATTCACTTTTTTCTTATTTTGTGTTAAGATTGAGGAAATTTTGCAAATAGAAAGTATAATTAACTCATAAACGGTCAGAATACATTTGTATTTATTAATTTTAAACCTACTGATTAGTTTTTTAAATTTTTGCTCGTTATGGCATGTCACAAATGGACAATAATCAATGTGTGGCTTATTTGTGACAAGACTGAAAATTCTTTACTTTCAGAACCTGTAATATCTGGAATAATTGTGCTTATGCTGTCTTAATTTTTAACCATGCCCAGTAGCGTCAATAAACGCGTAACGCCAGGTTGTGCAAATTGGGCAAGGATACAAACGAGTACGAAGTTTGCAAGTATGAAGTTTTCATAAACCTGATTATTAGAGACAAACTAACTGCCGAATTATTGGGCTATAAGCTTGATGTTTCTATTAAAGCAGCCAAGGTAGACAAATCAAGAATTCTAGAGAGCAAAAGAAGTACTACAATCTCGAAAACAAACTAGAAATCTTTCGGGATACAGGCGAAAAAAAACATTTACATATATTTAATGCATTTAAGAGAAGACGGAATTCCACTCACATCAATTGAATCGGAAAGGGCTTTCTCGGTAGCGGGACTTTTCATTACTAAAATAATAATCAAATTGAGTGATCGGAGTATTGACCATCTTTGCTTTTTAAAATCTTATAAGCATTTACAATAATGTTGTGTATTATGTTTTATTTGAAAAATGAAAATACCTTCTAAATTAGAAGTTTGATCTAAGTTCTTTTTTTCCTTAAATTTTCAACTAAATTCAAAGGCTTTTTTTCTTGTAAGCAGTTTCTAACAAACTTTAATAAATTTTTTCTATTTGTAAGTGAACATTTCTACGTAATTCAAAAGTAATTTTTAATACAATTTTACACACCATTATTATTATTAGCGAGGTTGAGGCCGAAGTTTTAAACGCGAAAACGTGTACTTCGGACGTACAGAGCTGCTTTGCTGTAAGCCTAGAAGTTTGACAATGGTGTTTGGATAATCAGCGATTCATGCTAGACATTCCAAACACCATTGTCAAACTTCTAAGCTTACAGGAAAGCGGCGCTGAACGTCCGAAGTACACGTTTTCGCGTTTAAAACTTCGGCCTCAACCTCG